AAAACACACATCACCCTGGGAGGGCTTCGGCTCCCCGTGCCGACACATCGTGAGCGAGCTTTGTTAAGCGTCATCCGCTGATGCCATCCCTTGTTTCCCCCCACAGTTTCCTCACCTGCACTTCGCTCGTCCCGCTCCGTTTTTTGTTGAGCGTGTGGGCGACGGATGGTGGAGGGAGAGCAGCGCATGCGGCGTGTGCCACTGGGCCCGCTGGACGGAAGGTGTGGTGATGTCTACGAGAACAAGCATATGTCCGAGGGGGTCCGCGCACGCGGCCTGCATGAGAGCATCACTCGAGTCCTTGAAAGCTGAGCAGCCCCCACTTAAGTGGCGTTACATGATGACTCTTCAATCGACCAATAATCCGATTCGTGAGCACTTCTCATGTATGGTGACAGTTTTATTGCAATGCTTATTGTTGCCTGAATTCCTCTTCTTCTTTTTTTATTATTTGAGCGTGTGTATGTGTTTGTGAGGGGGAGGCTGCGTTGGGGGTTTATGTTTTAGTCGTTGGTTGAGGCTTTCTTCCTCTTTTTTTTTTGCAGTGAACATGGTTGTTGGTTTGGGTGGGTCGCGAGTTGCGTTTTGTTTGTTCTTGTTGTGTCTTGTCGGTTGAAGGTGCGTAGGATGGCGAAGGAGGCGGTGTCCTTAGCCTCTTTTTGGGCCCGGTGGAAGGAAATCTGTGGGGTTGATTCGTCGGCGTATGATGTGGCCTGGGGTACTCGTTCTGTCGAGGCGTTTCTTTCTTACCATGCGGACGCCCGGCCGTTGAATGGTTGTGCCGTGCTCTTCAGCTCGCATCTGCTTCTCTGTGAGGCGGTGGGGGCCAGAGTGGTGTTTTCGGTGGCGCTGCTGTCCGTGCGGGGGATGCGGTGCAGTGGGCAGCTGGAGCTTTCACGGAACTCCTTTGACGACGAGAACTCAGGCAGAGGAGCGGTGGCGCGGAGGAGTGTCTCGCTGGATATTTTTCTTGACGGCGCTGCGGTGACGCTGCGGATGATGGGCGTTGAGGGGGAGCAGTTTGCCCGTGTTGCGCTGCTTCTGTGGCGGATGAGTCACGGGGAAGCGAAGATGGAGGCAGTGGCGGTGGGGACTCCGTTGCACCACCCCGGTGACGCCGTCTACGCGCTGGCAGGGGCGCCTGTGCGGCTGTCCGCGACCGTCGTGCAGTGCGTGACAGGTGAGTCGTGCCGCATGCTGGACGCTGGTGAGGCCGTGGAGATTGCCATGCTGAACGAACGGGAGGTGTGCATTGCGCGGCGGCCACGCACGGCGGCGACGTTTTGGCGCGACTTTTACGGCAGTCATTCGGAGGAGCTGCAGATACTACCGGTGGAGGGTCTGTCCGCGTTGGTGGCCCCATTTAGCACCACCGTGCGGCTTGTGGGGTGCCGCGGCGAGACGTGGATGTTCGCGATCGCCGACCCTGCGACGAACTTCACCGTACGACACGCATTGCAGCGGTTCATTGAGTTGTTTCTGCTGGGGATGATGCGTGGGTGGCGCGGCGGCGCGGTGGATGCCGTGGAGGCCTGTCACCGACTCCGCTACTTTGACCTTGCCGCTCTGTACCAGCAGTACTGTGCCATGGATGCGGAAGGGGCTGGCTACCTCCTTTGCTCTTCGCTGGAGGCGGCGATGGGGCCACTCCTCGCGTGCGACTCGCGCCTGGTACGGGCGATGTGCTGCCACGACGGCGATGGCGACGACGGCAAGGTGAGTCTGCCCATGTACTTGAACCACATGCGTGTTCTGCTGCATGGGAGCGTGGCTGAGCGGACCAGGGTTGCCTTTCGTGCCTTCGGCGGCGACATGTGCGGCGGTGCGACGGCGGGCCTGCACGAGATGCATGGGGCTGCACACGAGAAGGGGAAACCAGAGCAAAGCGGCCTCGTTCGCTTGATGGACTTTAAGCTTATTCTGCGCGACATTCTTGCCGGCCTCGCCTACACGCCCGCGAACGCGGAGGAGTCCGTCGACGACGCTGTAAACCGCATCCTGGCATCGGTGCATGGCGGCGGCGGCGAGGGCGAGGGTGACACCGCGACGGTGTCCTTTCAAGCTTTCCTACCGGCCTACACACTCCTGGTGGGGCTGCTGGGGGCGGGGGAGACATGGGGGTGCGATGTGGCACCAGTCTGTGGAACGCCGCACCCGCTGCTCGGCATTGGCTCGGCGCACTGGGTGCTGCTCACGTACATCATGACGGGGGTGGAGATTTCGGTCCGTGCCGCTGTGGCTGCGGAGGACTGCGGCAACAAAAACACGTTTGTTCTCACCGTTGGGTCCTCAACCATCGCGGAGGTCGCCTCCGTGCAGGGCGTCGGCGCCCTGCCGGTGGCGCCAAACTTCTTCCAGAAGCGCTTCGCACCCCTCCAGGGTGGCCGGGCGACATTCACCGACTTCAGCCCGCTCCTCTTTGCCTCCGTGCGGCGGCGCTTTGGGATTACGGTGGAGAAGTTGCTGAGTGCCTTGGGCATCAACGCCCTGCGGGCCCGCCTGCTTCTGGGGTATTTCTGCGTCCCGCGTGTCCTGCGAAGCAGCAGCCGCAGCGGCGCGTTGCTGCTCAGCAGCCACGATCACCGCTTTATCCTGAAGCGTGTGACGCACGCCGAGTCGCGCACGCTTCGCGGCCAGCTTCCCGCGTACGTTGACCACCTAGACCGCCACGCTCACACCCTTTTGCCGCGGTACGCCGGCCTCTACGCGCTGTGGCGGGGCGGCGAGAAGACCATCGTCGTCATTAGCGAAAACGTCTTTGCGTTCGCTCAGCTCCCCGTCGCGGAGGTGTACGACCTGAAGGGCTCTACGATGCATCGCACCACCGCCGCCGAGGATCGCCGGCACGGGGCCGCGGGAAAAGACAACGACTTCCTGGCTGACAAAAAGCAGCTGCACCTTTCCGCTGAGGCACAGCGGGCGCTGTTGGCGCAGCTGGAGGCGGACACTGAGCTGTTGAATAAGGCAAACATACTTGACTACAGCCTTCTTGTGGGGATATACAGTGGCGAAGCAGGCTGGAGCTCGACCCCGGAAGCCGTGGAGCTTGCACAGCGTCAACGGCAACGGATGGAAAAACTAGCTGCGGCTCTCGGCGCGCCGCCTGCACAGCCGTTGGAGAGTGACCCCGACGCGAGCAAGCAAGGTGACGATGTCTTTCACGCGTACTACGGCGGTATAGCCTCTGCTGACGGAACGGAGGTGTACTTCCTCGGCATGGTGGACTGCCTCACTACCTACAGCATAAAGAAGGTCGGCGAGCACTTCAGCAAGTCCGTGCTGCTGCAAGACATGAAAAAAATTAGCTGCGTCCCACCGTCAGTCTACCGGTCACGATTTTTGAACTTTATGCGCACAGTCATTGATGGTTGAAGCACGCACACGCACAACGGCGTGCCAATCTCACGTGCGTACATATCGCTATATTTTCCTCTCTCTTCCTCTCTCTGTAGTTACTTCATGAACGTTTGTCTATTGCGTCCATACCCGTCTGCCGGTTGTTGGTGTTGTTGTTTTGCACTTTTTTTTTCCGCGGTGACTTTGTGCGTGTATTTTTTTGTTTTGTTTTTTATTTGGTGCTGGCGGCAGTAGGGCGAAGTGATATTTTTGTGTCTGTTTTTCTCTGCGAGGGTGTTCTCCTTGTTTTTGTTGCTGGCGTGTTTGTGAAGGTTTCACTCGCGCGACGTGCAGCGGGGCGGGGCGGGGGGAAGCAGCAGCGCGAAGGCAGCGTGGGAAATGCGTGCCGGTGCAGGCGGGGATGCAGCACGGGAGAGGCATCTCCGTCCTCTCCTTTCACCGCGTCTCGCTGACGCCTTTTGCAGTTTGGATGTTGATGCGGTGGAGCGGGTGCTCGGAAGTGCCGTGGCCGCCCTGCGACACGGAGAGGCGCGGCGGTGGGGCGAGGGCATCTTGGAAAGCGCATGTAGATCACTGCTGTGTGCGTATGTTGTTGGTCTTCGCCTGGCGGTGGGTTCCTTTGCCCCAGAGGAGGACGGCGCGGAGCCTGCGTGGCGCGAGTTGCTGAAAATGACGACGTGCACTGGCGGTGCCATTGCGGAGATGTGTGCGGTGCCGGGGGTCACCGCTGCTGCAAGCGCCGTCATGCAGCTGATTTCGGGTCTGCTGCGGCCACCATCGCCAGCGAGGCAGAGCACACCGCGGGAGACGCGGTTATTCTGGAGCTGCTACCCGTGGTGGTGCTGCCTTCTCCACCACTGCCTGACGCTGTCGGCCAGTGGAGAGGGGGCAGCAGCAGCAGGAACTGAGGTGGCCGCTGCTGGCGTGGCGGCCCGCGCCTTAAGTTGGGTCTCGCGCCACTACGCCTCGGAGGCAGGGCGGATGGCTGGACACAGTGTCGTCGACATGCCTATCTTTCTTTCCGCCCTCACTCCCGTCGGCAGGGCGGGGGCGTGCCCGGCATCGCCCGCGCCCGCGCCGTCCGGTGAGCCTGAAGCGTGCGGCTGCGGCGAGGATGAGCCTGCGGCGACGGTGCCGCTCGGGCAGCTGGTGGACGTCCACGGGGCGAGCCTGGTTCGCTCCTTCGCCTGCGCCGCGAGGGGACGGAGGGATACCGACACCACCGAGGAGGAGGGCCACAGCCGCGATTTTTGCCCATCCCCGCTGGCCACGCAGCAGCAGCGGCAGGTCTCAGCACTTCAACGCGCCCTTTTCGTTGCATCGAGGCTTTGCACCCCTTTTGTCATGCAGGACCTCCACACCCTGCTTCCGCTGCGCACGCGCCCCGGCACCGCTGAACAGAATCGAGGCGGCAACGATGCTTCACCGCCGACACAAAGTGAGCCGCACTGTGACGTGTGTGGCCTTCTGGAACGGCAGTTTTCGTCGCGAGGCACCGCAGCGAGACGCACGCCTGTTGCCCACGCTCTTCTTCTTCTTTGTGCAGTGCTTTCGCGTCGACCGCCGTCGCTGTCGGTCCCACTGCAACGATGCCTGGGGGAGCAGGCGGCCGCGGCCGCACTGGCGGCGTTGCTCTGCCGTGACGCAGACGTGGCGGACGCTTTCCTCTCCCTGCTGGCGCGCCTTGGCGAGGACGCGGGGTCCATCTACTTTGTGGCACTCTGGCGTGCCGCGTTTGCTGCAGCCGCGAAAGAACCGTCCGAAACGATGGCGTGGCTCCTTGCTGGACTTGCGCGCGCCGTCGAGAAACGCCGGCTGGAGGGCGATGGGTGCGGGACACATGCCTTTCTGGCTGCCGTCGATGCCACCTTTGAGAGCGTTGTGCGCGTCATGGCCGTGCTCCTTTCCGCCTTTTCGGCCGCGGTCGGGGGGGACGCTGGCCGCCGCCTGCGAGATTTGTGTGCGCGCGGCTTTGTCGAAGTGTGGGATGCGTTGTTGCACGCCTCACCCCGACACGGCGGGGGGGCGGCCGAAGGTCTCCTCTGCGATGTGATGCAGATGGACCACGCCTCGCAGTCTGAGCCCGCCACAGCGCAGCTGCGGGGGCCTCTCGAGGCGTACTACGTCTCGGTGCTAGAGCGGTGGTGCGCGATGCGAGGGGAATGCATGACTGCTGCCTCTGCGGCGTCCGTGTGGTGGCCCGAGGCAGAGGGGCGGGTGGACGCCCACGAGCACTCGCTGCTGGTGCTGCAGCACACGCTCGCGCTAAGCGAGTACGTCTCTCACGCCAATTGCATTTTTCAGCTTCGTCACGCGGGGGCGCGGCACGGCAGGCACCCGGCTGCCTTTTTTTTGCAGGGCATGGAGAGCCTCTGCGCGCGTCTTTTTTTGACGCAGGCGGAGTCAGCGGCGCAGGTGCAAGTGGGGGAGATTCAGCGCGTGGCGTCGCAGATTCTCGCCGTCACCGTGAGGACGATCTGCACGAGACCTGGGCGAGAGCTTTTTGCTCCGATCTTTGGGAAATCCTCCGGCCGCTACGCGACGACGTACACAAGCCTGCTCTATTTGTGTTTTTTACAGAAGTTGCATCAGACGCCAAACCCAGACAAGCTCTGTCTGCAGGCCTTGCTGCGGGCCCTGCGCACTCTCATTATTTGGGAAAGCGAGGCCTACAACGTCGCTCTGCGACTGTCGATTCCGCTCATGTTTAGCTGCATGCTACCAGAGTCTGCTGTGGCAGGCAAGGCGGCCGGTGCGGAGGTGCAGCCGCTAACAACACCCGCTAAGGCATCAGTGCAAGAGCAGCGTCTGGCGTCAACAACAACTCCACCCGCCGTCTCTATGAAAAACACGTTGGGCAACAACGGCGGCGGCGACAGCAGCAGAGTGGTTGGAACTGCGGGCGCCGCGGCTCCCGCGAGGCTCTTTATGCCCACCCTTTCAGTTGCCGCCTTGCCGCCGCCGCAGTACTACGCATGGATGGGAGAGGCAGAGGAGACTTGCTTTGCTGCGAATACCAATGCACAGGCACCACCGTTGCCGCCGTTGAACCTCACCCCCCAGTCGCAGCAGCCGCATTGGGACGATGGCGTTCCCGCAGTCACGCGAAGTTCGGGAGAAGAAGCGACGCGGGCCGCGTTGGACGATCCAGCAACGCTGGCCGAGGTGCTGCTTCTGCTCTGCTGCCTGCTTCCCGGGCGCACGGGGGGGATGATCAGTCAGTCGGGCCTTGTGGCCGCGCACCCACACGCCTGCAACCAAACGCGGGGAACGTACGTGGATTGCATGCGCGGAAACGTGCCATTTGTGCGTGTCCTGCAGAAAGTAGAGGAATTTGTGCGCTGTCCAGCGAACAAAGCGTCTCTTCAACTCTTCGACGAACTCGTCACGGCGGAGGCACAGGAAAAGAGCGCCTTGTGGGCTGGGGTGGATGTGCTGCGGCGACTGCTGTCACCGCAGCTGCAGTTGCTTGAGGGAATAACCATCACCCGGCGCATCGGCGCCGGCAGTTACGGCTCCGTATTTGCCGCGGAGCGCTATTCTGCTGCAGCCGCTTCGAACCAGGACGAGATGAAGTTAGGGGACGTCTCGCAGTCGCTCGCACTGAAGATGGTATCCATTGCCCGGCCGCACATGGGAGATGAATGTGCTACCCTCGTGAGCTGCCACACAGAGGCGACGGCGCTCCTTCGCCTGCAAGGGCATGCGCACATATGCGAGCTGCTCTTCGTTGGTTGCACCGCCACGCACTACGTGCTTGCAATGCCGTTGTACAAGGGCGGCTCCCTTCGCGACTGGCGAGTGCTGAAGAGCGGCTTTCGTGTCGGTGAGCCCGCGGAGGAGAGCGGCTGCGGCACCGTGACGGAAGCAGCCTCGGGCTCCACACACCCCTCACCCAAAGGCAGTTTCCTCGCGGTGTGCGGGCCCATCTTTGCGCAGGTGCTCGCGGCGGTGGAGTTTATGCACGCCCACGGCATACGTCACAATGACATCAAAGCTGACAACATTCTCATTGAGAGCCTCCAGGGCGAATCCCTCTGCCTTGCCGCAGTGCCTCAGATGGAGGAGGAGGGGGAAGGCGAAGACGAAGGCATGAGTGGGGTGCACGTAGGGCCGAAGGGGCGAGGCGTATGTATTCCGGTCGCCATTCGTCTTTGCGACTTCGGTGTCTGCGAGTTGGTGGGGGAAGACATGTTTGCCGTGCGGCGCTGCAACGAGGTGGCTGGCGGTGCTGAAACGCCCTGCTGGGGGCCCACAAGGGGGACGGAGGCGGTGCAGGCGCCCGAGGCGCTCTCGCTGGCGAGTAGTAGTGCCCCAGCGAGGCGTGCGCCGTACTGCGAAGCAGCCATTCCGCCGAGCGCCGCAGATTTCCCTGCTTCTTCAGCTTTTGCCAATGTAGCAAAGGAGCTTGCAGCAGATATGTGGGCATGTGGGTGCTTGTTGTACGAGCTCTTAACAGGTGTCATGCTGTTTGGAGGAGCCAACCTTGGCAGGCTGCTTTTTCTCGCCGCCAACCTGCGCAGTGGCGGGTGCACAAGTCACGAGGTCCTGCAGCCGCACCAAAAACGCGCACTCGAAATGGCTGGGCCTGGCGTCGCGGAGTTCGTGTCGCAGCTGCTGGCTGTAAACCCTGCGGAACGGCCCACTGCGTCTGAGGCTCGGCAGGCGTGGGCACAGGTCATGCAGGCGCAGAGTGTGCGCCGCATGAGCCGTGACTGGGGGGAAGTGAGTCATCTGAAATATGCGGAGCGATATTTTTGGTCCTCTTCTGCTTGTTAGTGTTGTTCCTGTTTGTGTGTGGTGGCTCTGCTGCCTCGTTGGCGTGGTGCTCGTGTGCTGGCGGCGCACCCCCCCACCCTCCATCCCTTCTATTTTTATTATGCTGCTGCTGCTGCCTTGTGGCACGCCAGCACCACTGTGAAACGTAGCAGCAGCAAGATCAAAAAAGAGAAGGAGGGAAGCGTCGCGTTGGCACCTTCCAACGACAGAGTAGTTTCCTGTATTCCCACACCCACGAGGTAACAGGGAGGAGGCGGTATGTCTGAGCCGCGGAAGCTGAAGATTGCCTGCGTTGGCGCTGGCTATGTCGGGGGTCCGACGATGGCGATTATCGCCAAGCAGTGCCCCAACATCACCATCCACGTGATGGACATCTCCGAGGAACGGATTGCCGCGTGGAACGCCCCCGGCCCCGGCCCCGGCGAGAGCCCCAAGCTTCCGATATATGAGCCCGGGCTGTCTGACATCGTTTACGAGGTACGCGACAAGAACCTCTTCTTCACCACCGACCAGAACTGCATAAAGGGGGCCGACGTGATCTTCGTGGCGGTGAACACCCCAACGAAGGATAAGGGCATCGGGGAGGGACTTGCGGCGGACCTTACGTACGTTGAAAGCTGCGCCCACCTCATTGGGGAGACCGTTGGCGACGGCCACCACGTTGTAGTGGAGAAGTCTACCGTGCCAGTGCGCTGTAGCATCTCCATCCGCCGCATCCTCAGCGCGTACCAGCGGGACGACAAGGTCTCCTTCTCCGTGGTCAGCAACCCGGAGTTTCTCTCGGAGGGGACGGCGGTGCGGGACCTCATGGAGCCCGACCGTGTGCTTATCGGCGGCGAGGATGAAGCCTCTATCAACCTCGTCTCCTCCATTTACGAGAACTGGGTGGACAGATCCCGCATCATTCGCACCAACTTGTGGTCGAGCGAGCTCTCCAAGCTTGTTGCGAACGCGTTTCTAGCGCAGCGCATCTCGTCCATCAACTCCATCACCCCGCTGTGCGAGCTCACGGGGGCCGAAGTCACGGAAGTGCGCCGGGCCATCAGCACCGACAGGCGCATCGGGGAGCTCTTCCTCAACCCCTCGGTGGGCTTCGGTGGCTCCTGCTTCCAGAAAGACATCCTCCACCTAGTGTACCTGTGTCGCACGCTCGCCCTGCATGAGACGGCGGAGTACTGGTCCCAGGTGGTGAAGATGAACAACTACCAGAAGGAGCGCTTCTACCAAATGATCGTCCACAACTCCTTCGACACCGTGCGAACGAAGACGATGGCCATCATGGGGTTTGCCTTTAAGAAGGACACTGGCGACACGCGGGAGAGCCCGGCCATTTACATCTGCGCCCGCCTGATACAGGAGGGCGCCAAGTTGCGTATCTACGACCCCAAAGTGACGCGGCAGCAAGTTATGATGGAGCTAGAGAACTTCTTCAACACGGAACACCTGCTGAAAGGATGCACATACGAGCGCTTCATGCGGGATGCGCCGGTGCACGGTCGCAACAACGTGAAGGACATACTGAATAACGTGGAGGTGGTTAACACGGCTCTGGAGGCGTCCGTAAACGCAAACGCCATCGTCATATTGACGGAGTGGAACGAGTTTGCCACAATGAACTACGCGAAGCACTATGAGGTGATGAAGCAGCCGGCGCTGGTTTTTGACGGTCGTCTCGTGGTCGATGCGGAGAAGTTGATGGCAATCGGGTTCGAGGTGTGCGTCATCGGCAAGTCGCGGATCTCAAGCCACGACGGCTTCCCGTACGGAACTCTGTGAAAGTGCAGTAGCTGTAAGCTAGATGAGAAGGAGGAGGCGTAATGCCCCCCTCCCCCAAGCATCCTCTGCGTAGAGGGGGTGGAAAGGTGTATGTGTGTAGAGCTTAGTAACCGCGCGGTCCTTTCCAGTCCTTTCTTTTTGCTTGCTTGAGCGAAGGACGAGAGGGGGGGGAGGCATCATCCCCTGCCCACGGCAGGGTCTTGCAACGACGCCTCCTTGACGCCGGCGTATTACTGAAAGTCGCCTCTACTTTTCCCGTTGTGGATTTTGCGTTCACAAGCAGGCGCCCCGGTGTGATGTACCTACGTTGTGTGTGTGTGTGTGTGCTTCCGTTAACAATTTATGTGCGCGTTTGATTCCCGTTCTTTTCTTGCCTGTTTGTAGTGGCACCGCGAGCCGCGAGATGTCTTTACCTTTTATATATATATATATATATTATTATTATTTTTTGTGTGTACGCGCATTATATTTTCTTTAACATATGATTTTATCTCTCACTCTGCGTGTGTGTCTGCGAGTGAGTGGGCCGAGGCCCCCCACAAGAGAGGGAAGAGGCCCAGGGATTTGCTGCTGCTGTTGCATTTGTATCTCTTCCCTAAATAAGGGGAGGTGTGAAGCGACACACACACACACACACACACACACGGTCCCACGTCTGTGGCTGTTGCATGGGGCCCCGCTATCTCCGTATCCTTCAGCGTGTCGTCCCTTTGTCCCCGTCTTTTATTTTTGTCTTTTCTTTTCTCATCACAGTGGGGTACTGCGGAGATTGGCGCCTCGCGGCCCGCGCCTGTGTTGAGTTGGATGCCGCACGGTGGGTAACTTCTAATGCTGGATGAAGACGGCGTCGCGACGCAGCCCACCCTGTGGCAGGTATCCCCGACGCCGATGCTGGAGGCCTTCCATGATGCCATTTGGTACATTCTGCAGTACTGTGGATCTGCTATCGAGGCCGCAGAGCTGCTCTCGTGGCGCACACTTTTGCAGCTTCCCCTGCGTGCGGCGGTGGCCGGTGTGCACGGCTCCGCCAGAAGGGGCGAGGAGCTGGAGCTGCTTCTGCGGCTTGCCCTGAGAGTTCCCACCTGGATGCGGGTACGGCAGCTAGAGGAGCAGTATGCCGAGTACATGCATTTTCGCCCGGCTTTGGATCGCCTAAGTGCTCTTTGCGTCGGCGTCTACAACGATGGGTGTGAGACACGCCAGGATGAGACGTTTGTGCGTCTGCTGGACGGAGCGGCGGTGGCGGAACTCGTCGTGGTGGCCAAGTGTGAGGGTGCAACGGAGCTGCTGCGCGTGGCACGCGTGCGTGATCTCCGGCAGCTACTCCTGTTGCTGTGCGCGGGGGCAGGACGCGGCAAACGAGTTGACGGAGGCGAGCAGGACGCAAACGCTCATCGTTGCAATGACGGCGATGGCGAGGCGGTTGGCGACAACCCAGTGAGGGCGGGCATTCACGGTGCCACCGCAGGCAGGCGCTCGACTGGTGATGTGCGGCGGCTCTCCACGGCGCTGCCCTTGCGCAAGGAAGACATTATTCGCCGCATTCTTGACATGGACTGCGCTGCGGCTTTGTTTTCTGCCACCTGGGACGCCGTCGTTGGGCCCGTCTGCCGGGTTCACGAACACCTCAAGAAGAGCGTCTGTCGAGTTGCTGAGCTGCTCCACGTTCTTGCAAGCCCTTGCGGCACCGGTGGCGTTTTTTCGGTGCTGGGTCGTTCCTATCCACCCCGGCCACTCTCCGCGGCGCTTTCGCTGCTAGCGCCAAAACTCCTCTTATGGCAAACGGCACGTGTGTCGTGCGTGCCGACGCCGCCCTGGTGGCACACCAACGGCGTTGCTAGCGAAGAACCCTCCTCTCGAGCTTCGGCACCGCTCTGTCTTTTCACCTCCCCAGAGTCTCTCGCGAGTTATATGGGTGCGTTAGAGTTGCATCAGGCGCTCCTTGAGGCCACCGCTGGCAAAATGCGGAGGGGCGGGGGTCTTCACTTCGCAATGGCGTCACACACAGCTGTGGAAGACTCTCTCACCCGGCTGCAGCAACAACAGTCACTGAGGCGGAAGCGAGAGCACCCGGAGTCTACAGCTTCTGAACCTGAACCTTCGAATGGCTCGGTGCCATCTGGCAAGAGGGGTTCTTCGGAAGCGGGAGCCGTCACCGTGGAACTCCTGCTTCAGCAAGGTGGGTTGCTGTACGAGCATCTTCTTCCGTTCCTCCCCAAGTACGCTTGGTTTGCGTGTGCAGAGCTGCTGGTGCTGTTGCTGCAGTTCAACAAGGAGTACGCCTTGGCCAATCAGTGGCTGCAAACACTTCTAGGGGAGCCCGTGCACGTCGTGGCGTCAGCATGTGGGTCCGTCAAGTTTCCCTTCTACTACCGCTCCCAGAAACGTGGAAAGTGGTGTCACCGGGTGGCGCAGAACCTCGTCCTTTTGGGGGACAGAATGACGGCGCTGGAGATGCTTGAAAGGCAGCAGCAGAACTGGCGGCAGCAGTCCTCGAGGACGCCTGAGTGCGTTTGTGTGGAGGACGCCAAGCGACTTCCTGTGGGGCTGCAGCGCCGCGCCCGTCTTCTCTCTGCGGTGTTTCCGTCACCGAAAGGCAGCCGCGGCGGCGAAAACAAGGTGGCGGTGTATAATGCTATCAACGAGTACCATCGGCGTCACTTTTGTCGTCGGTTTGATCGTATTGCGATCGAGCGGACACTCGCGTCGTTGCATCGCTTGCTGCGCCGCTGGACGCCTTTTCCCGCATCCCACATGTCTTTCACCAACCACCTATTGGCGGCGAAGGAAGTGACTATACACGCCGCGCGAGACACGATGGACCCAACGCTCTGGAGTGACCCGTCGCACTCGATGACGGCCTGCCGTGTCGAGAAGCATGTCCTTCGCTGGTTTGGCGCTGGGCGGAGTTCACGCAGTGGCTGGGTTGGGCTGCACTGCGAGGGGCGCTGGTTTGCGTGTCTGGCGCGGCTTTTGCTGTGGGATGCGTATGTGTTTGATCCAACTCCGCAGCGGTGCAGGGAGGCAGAGCAGGAGACGGTAGCGGGCGTGTCAGATTACATTTGGCTATCGCCACTGCAGGACGACCCCTTCGACCTCATCGCTGCTGCAGCCTTCTGTCATCGCCGCCGACGCCTCATCGAGGCGCGGCTGGAGTTCTTTGAGGCGTGCCCGCGAGAGATCATCATTGAATACGTGCGGCGGCGCTGCCGATCGCGAGAGACCCCGACAAAAGGCACCGGCCCTGTGCGAGAAGGAAAACAGGCGCGCGAAGAACTGCAGCTGGAAACCGAAAGTGATGCAAGCCTGTGGAGCATGGACGAGGAGGAGAAAGGGGGGGATGGCATGGTGCTGCCCGGACAACCGATGCCGCCTCAAGGCGAGCAGCTGGAGGAGACGCTTCCCGCGTTTTTTGCCTGCGACGACGCCTGCGCCTTGCACATGGTGGACGTTGGGGAGTTGCCTTTGTTGAGTCTCCTGCGGGCGATCCCACAGCGCCCGCTTTGTGCGCTGCTGCGCTGCATGTTCCTCTCCCCGCCGGAGGAGGGCCATACCGTCTGCTTTGCTGGCTTTCCCGACCTCGTCCTGTGGCGTGAGACGCCCCTCTCCCTCCTTGAGACTGACTTTAAGCTTGTGGAGGTGAAGAGCCCTCACGACGCCTTGAGTGACAAGCAGCTGGCCGCCATTGATGCTCTATGCCGCTGCGGCTTTGACGTTTCCGTGGCTCGTATCGTGGAGAGTTCGCAAGCCGTAAACGAAGCGGGCCCATGCGGGGCCCACACCTCCAGTTCAGACCGTGTGCAGGATGCCGCGTTGCGGAATGTGCAGCTGGTACTTTAGTGCAACGGAGACTCGCACGGGACCCCGCCGCATAAGTAAAAGGAGGGTTGTGAATGAGGAGGAGAAGGGAGGGGGAACTTATGCTGAAGAGGCGTGTGGAGGACTTCTTCTGTTGCCGTTGCTATGCGGATTTGTCGCCGTGTGTGCCGAAAGGAAAAGTTCATTGTCGCACGTCTCACCTCATCCATGCTGTTGTGGTTCCCCACTACTCCACGCAACGGTTATTTACGTGGAGGAGGTGGCGTTGGTGCTAGTGGTGGTGGGTGGACACCGAAGGGGGGAATAGAAAAGAAGGAGAGAAACAAGGAAAGGGAAAAAAAAACAAGCAAAGGGAGGGCGCTCTGCTGCTATTGTCGCTCATGAGCAGCCTGATTTGCGTGTCTATGAAGATGCCCACAAGTGCATGTGTGTGTATATATATATATATATATATACTCTTCCTCTGGCCATGGCATTGGCTTTGTTTTGTTTGTTTTTTGTCTTGCTACTACGATGAGAAGTTCGACGGGAACTGCCTCCGGTGCTCGACAGTGCCTGTCCTGTGGTTTGCGCTCCTTGCTGCTCCATGTGTATGAGTGTCTCGATGGGTGGGAGGATGTTTGCCGATGTGGTGCGCTACATCAACAACTGGCCACGAGGAAAATCGGGTTGTTCTCTTAACAACCTGGAGCTGACGAGGCTTTTTATAGACCGCCTCAACATGCAGGACAAGCTCAACAGGTTGCGCTTTGTCCACGTGGCGGGAACCAAGGGAAAGGGCACCACCGCGGCGTACACCTCGGCGCTACTGCAGGCGTACGGCTTCAAGGTGGGCCTTTTCGTCTCCCCACATATCGTGGATGTTCGGGAGCGTATGATGGTGAACAACGCTTTTTTGCCTAAGGAGGACTTCGCTCGGCACTTTTTTAGTATGCTGGATCGCTTCATGGGCCTGGCCAACTCAGAGAGCCAAATCTCGCGCGATCTCGCGCAATGTCAAAGCTACTTTTGCTTTCTATTTTTGCTCGCGCTGGACATCTTCGCCGCGGAGTCGGTGGAGGTGGCGGTGCTGGAGGTGGGCATGGGCGGCCGCCTGGACTCCACGAATGTCGTCTCGCCCGAGGTGACAGTCATCACCTCCCTGGGCCTGGACCACATGTCCATTTTGGGCCACACAGTGGAGGAAGTTGCTGCTGAAAAGGCTGGTATAATAAAGCCCAGGGTCATCTGCTACACCACCCCGCAGGAGTGGCACCCATCCACGCTGAAGGTGTTGAAGACAACCGCGCGTGCGCGGCAGGCTCCCCTGGTGGTGGTGAACGCGGCGACGCTGCCTATCTCTAGCTGGCCGCCCCTGGCGATTGGGGGGGCCCATGCCGTGGAGAACTCCAAGCTGGCTCTGCTGGCGGCACGGTTTGTGGCGGGGAAGCCTCCCACCATTCCGCTGGATGGCGTGGAGCGTCACGTGCTGCAGACGATGACGTTTACAGGCCGCTCTCAGGTGGTGCCGGTCGGCGGCGGTGCGGTCGTGACGCTCTACTTTGATGGCGCCCACACCTTTGAGAGCCTGACGTGCGCCACCCGCTGGTTTCTGGAGCAAAGCCGCGCCGTCACGGGAGACGCGAATCCGCGTCGTGTCCTGCTTTTTTACACCTCTCGCGAGCCAGCGCACATCCTCAAGGCGTTTATGCCGTTTATCCACTTTTTTTCAAAGGTGATTATGGCATTTGTGGTGAATCCGCGTACGGCGCGTGGACCGACGACAGAGGAGCGGCACGATCATGCGCGTGGCGAGCTAACAGCCACGATGGAGTGCTGGAAAGAGATGTACCCTGAGATACCGTGCCTTCCCTGCAACGCACCCTTCGCCTCGCTTCAGGAGTTGATTAGTATGGCTGGGCCAGCGGCAACTGACAACGAAGATGCCTCAAAACCGGTGCAGATCTTTGCTACTGGCTCTTTTTTCCTGCTTTCCGACCTTATTAATTTGGTAAAGAAGCACCAGTCTCAATTTTAAGCACAAGCACGGAAAGATTGATAGCCACCAGCATGTATGCACATCTAAACTGTGGTTATCCTAAAAAGACAAAGACAAAAAAATTTCTTTTTTTGTGGGACGTTGTCTCCTCGTGTGGTCGTTCGTTGCTCAGCAGATACGCCCACACACGTCCTATCATTATTGTTATTGTTTTCCTCCTTTCCGCTCTGACGGTCGGTTGGCCTGTCTCTGTGGATGGGTGGGCGCCTGTTTTTTTATTGGCTCCTGTCGCTATTGTTGTTGTTATTAACCAAAATTCTAATAATAATTCACGTGCGCGCGCCCTCTCCTTCTCTCTTTTTGTGCCTGTCTCACTTTCTTGCTTTGTTTTTTTTTTGTGGTTCCGCTTCTCTTTTCCTGTCCCAGTGATAGTTGGCAGAAAGATGCGGCACTACGTTATGCTTGATGCGGCACCAAGCGCGGCCTCATCCTGCGAGAGGACGGCCGCTGTTCTTGGAAAGCACCTTGCGGAGGGGGAGACCCTTGTGAAGGTGGTGCACTGCTCCAACTACTACGGGGCCGCGCTGTTTCGCAGCGGCAGCCTCGTGCTTCTGGCGCCGGAGTCCCCAGCACAGCACGGGACTGTTATTGAGGGCGGCGATGGGCATGTTCGAGATGTTGCCGCAGGTGCCACCCACATTGTCTTTTGCAAGGAGGATGGCACGGTGCATTCGTTTGGCTATAGCAACACTCACGGACAATTGGGCGATGGTACAGTCTGGAGGAGGTGGCCAGCTGCACCGGAGATGCGCGAGGCCGATGCGTCGGCCACTGCTGAGCGAGAGGAGGGGCTGCCGCAACTTTCCCCCCCGCAGATGATTGGCGGGTTTGGTGTTGGAAGGGGCGGCGGCGAAGCAGCCTTTATGGACGGCAGGCTGCTCTCTGTCCCCATCGCTGCGGTGGCGTGTGGTGCCTTCCATACTTTGCTCTTGACAAGCTTGCGGAACTGCGTGTATGCTTGTGGCCTCGGCGTGTCAGGGCAACTGGGGGGGAGACGGCGTCCGGTGCTGCAGCCATCTTTCAGGTCGATTCGGCTTCTGTTTGGATTACCGCTCCGGCAGATTGCGGCCGCGGGAAACCACTCCTTTGTGCTGCTGCAGACGGGAAAATTGTTCGCCTTTGGGGAAAATCTCTGCGGGCAGCTTGGGTTTGGCTCTGCCAAGGCCGTGCGCACGCCGCGGGCCGTAAACTTCAATGGGGCCGCGCCTTGCGAGGAGACGCGGCGACCGCTAGACACAGCCGCGCTCAAGAGCTTGCGGGCGGCCCGGGGCTCGGCGGAGAGCATGTACGTCCCGCTGCGCGTTGAACGCCTGTGTCCGGAGCGGGCGCCCGGTGAACCGTTTATTGTCGCTGTGTGGTGCTGTCCTACTATAACGGTGCTGCTCACGGAAGGGCTGGAGTGGCTGTCCTGCGGCCTCGCCCTGTCGCGAAGCCCATGCGACCGCAAGACCTCCGCGCGTAGAGTGGATCGTTATGGCCCGCTTGGGCGATGGTTGGCACACAAAGAGGAAGCCACATTGTTTCGTAAGATGCGGTGGTCGGAGCGGGTGGCGGCGGCGCTGAAAAGCGCGCTTCCCACTCACGCGCTGGAGGGCCCGTCGCTGGAGGAGGCGCTTGGCGCGATGGATGTGAAGTGTTCAACGAAAGCCGTGGTCTTGCTCCTGCGGCACGCGGCGGAGCCGCACGGGGCCCATTTGTTTCTGCAGGGGGAGGTGCCAGAGCCCCTGCTAATAGACCAGGCGGGCGGAACCCCGTTGATCCCGGCTTACCGCGCTGAAAAACTTCTGTACGATCACGACGTGGACGACGACGCCTTCGAGTTCACCCTCGCCGAGGCGCAAGGCATCTTCGCCACGGAGGCTTTCATGGGTGTCGTGTAGCGTTCGATGTGGCAAAGTATGGGCGAACCGCGGGGAGAAGAGGAGGGAAACAAGGACAGCGGAGAGAGGAGTCGCGGAGGGGAGTGAGAACAGGCGAGTGATGTTTCTCTTTCCGCTTCATGTATAGCAATTTTCTCTTGGCCAGCTTTGGGGCGAACGGCCTGCGGGAGAAACGGGTGAGTGAATATTGGCGATGTCGTGGCGCTACCCTGTTCTTACTTTTTTTTTTTTTGCTTCTCTTTTTCGAGGGCACATGGGCAAGAGGAACGCTGCCACCCAGCGCGTTTCGGGCACAAGCGCTTCCTATAGCATCTTCTCTTGGTCTTTCGCGTCACTCCCTAAAGGCGCAACCCTGTGACGAATGGCGGCGCCCGCACCTGCAAACGAAGGGCGCCGCCGCAGCCGAGAACCCCCCAGGCGGGCGGGGGCATGAAGCTGCCTCAAGGACAAAATAATACCAACAATAATAATAGAATATAAATGGCTTTGGGGCTCGTCGGCGACATCGCGGGGGCCCCCGCCCCAAATTTGCTCCTCTCTGCCGGGCGTGGGGCCCCACCGGCGCACCTCCCCCCGCAGCACCCCCACTCACCCAGCGACAGACCAGGGCACCGCATCCGTCTCGCTATCCGCACTGCACCGTCAGAGGTGCACCTGCGTTCCTGCAAACGCGCCCCCCGCTGCCCTCGGGCGTCTCTCCCGCGGTCCTCCAAACACCGCCTGCAGACCAGCTCTCTCGGCTGGTCTCCTATTGGCTCCGTCGTGCCCTCCCCCAACGCCGTCACGCAACGCGGAAGCATGCGAATGCTCGTGCCGCGTGGGCCGTCCCAAAAAGGACCCTAGTCACTGCTTCGCCTTGGCCGTGATCGCCATCCGCCAAGGGAAACGCGCCAACCGCGCAATAGCTCGGTTGCGCACCTGTCAAAGTACAAACGCCGTTGTTGTAGCAGTTTCATCGGCACGGTCGCCCCCCCTCCTCTTGAGCAGCAACTGCCGCCGCCCCACTCTGGAAAGCGCGGGAAGTGCTATGGCCAACGCGAGGGGCAGCACACCCACACCCACAGGAGGGAAAAAACCTGGAACGTCATCCTAGCTGTGATCGCGACGGCCATCTCTATTTGTGGTTCAAACAACGCGTTTTTGGGTCAAATAAACTTCTCACCTCAATTTGTGCTACGCATTAGTGGGGGGCATTTTATATATGTTGCGTGTCCCCTTAAAATCCGGCCCCAATAGGCGTCGAACCCAATTCAACCATACCAAGACAAGGGGACGAGCGTCCGACAGTTACGTCAAAAACAACGTGAGGCGCTTTTTCTTTGTTTGAATACATGAACATTTTTGTAGTTTATTTTAATCTTCATAATAAGAAATTTTATGCATAATAGTGTTGTGGATAACAAGCTTTGTGCAGGGAGGTGTGAACGCAAGATCCTTAGGTGATTGTTCACAAGTGCAATACTATACATCCAGTACTCCTTCGGGGAATGTTTGACACCCATCACGGATGGGAAAAAAAAAAAAAATTTTTTTCTTTTCCATTTTTTTTTAAAAAAAGAAATTGTGTTTCTCATTTTCGCGGCAAACAAGCATGCGTTTATTACATCTATCTCAAGCACTAACATATATATATATATTTTTTTTTAAAAAACAAATCCCCACTTTTTTTTTAATGTGGGGGAAAACGAGGCCACTGGGGGGATCGAACCCCCGACCTCCGTCTTACTAGGACGGCGCTCTGCCATTGAGCTAAGCGGCCATGCCACCCCAACGGGGCGTTAGAAAGCATGTTCATGAAAGGTATCTAAAAGCAGAACATCCCATTTTTAAATGATAAACATGTAGTCTTGTTAGGTCACGGCGTGTCCTGTCAAGCGCAGTTGGTCTAGTGGTAGAATTCTCGCCTGCCACGCGGGAGGCCCGGGTTCGATTCCCGGACTGCGCAAACCTTTTCGCCGTTTTTTTCCGCATACCCTCACACCTCTCTGCCACAGTGCGTGTTTGTGCACGACTCCTTTTTTTGGAGGAAAAAAAGTGGGGCCCAGCCGGGAATTGAACCCGGGACCTCTCCCACCCTAAGGGAGAATCATGCCACTAGACCACTGGGCCGGCGTGACCGGGTGGCCCAGTGCATGGTTTGTATGACAACAGATGTCATTGCTTTTTTTTCTGTCCCAAAAAATTTGTGGGGCGGGCTTGCGCCGCAGCTTTCGCCAAGTTTGTGGTCACATGGGGTGTTTAGGCACCCCACCCGACGACGTTTTTGACGGGTGCTGTGGATGGAGCGGCGGGGGTTGGCTCCTCGCTTCCGGATTGGTGCAGTTGAGTTGGTGGTGGCGTGCCGCGTTCCTATTTCACGCGCCGGGGGGGGGCCGCCGGGGCGGTGAGGTGACAAACCGAAACGAGGGGGCGCACGGCCCGGAAAGAGTTTCAGCGTTGTTTTTCAAGTGATTCATTATTTTTGTGCTTTTGACTGAGTTTGACGCGTGTCAGGTTCTGTGGCCCCCCTTTCTCCCGCAAAAGAGGAGTTGTGGGACTTGGAGGTTTTTTGGCTCCCTGGGCGTGGTTTTTTTAATGGGCTCAGTGTGGTGGCGATTTTTGTAGTTTTTGTATTTTACTTCTCCATGCCTAGTTTTTAATTTCAATTTTTGGCTCCGCGTATGGTAATTTATTGTTTACTTGTTTAATGAACACCTGCTTTTAAAAAAATTGTCCGTAGAGTTCGTGCCACCTTTTTTTTTTTACTTTTTTCAGACTTTTTCCATTAGTTTTTTTGTTTTTTTAATGCATTGGGCTCTTACGAGGATAGATCATCAGGAAAGAGTTAATACCAATATATATATATATATAATTTTGTCTATAAGACAATAATACCAAGATGGTATTGATAATCTTTTTGATATAAACCTCCATTTGATTACCGTATAGTTATGCAGTATATATATATTTGAGTTTTTTTCCTTTTTTTTCTTTTAAGCGCTACCAACAGCTTCGAAGTTTATAAAAAATGACGATGAATTTTGGCAACATGACCCTCGGGGGTGCTGCAGCAACCTTTGGGGGTCAATCAAACCCAATGTGCAACTATACCAGCCCTCTTGCCAAAAAGTTTGTTTACAAGGAGATGGGTAAGGTATACTATCCTCTTCGTCGGCATGTCTTTCGACTGAAGGTGCGTACGGCAGCCGAGATTCGTTTTAACGAAATCGTTAAGAAATACATGAAGGACAAGTTGAGCTTCAAGAAAGGATGCTATGCTGCAACTATTACAAATACTGTGGAATTGGACCATATGGGAAGTATCATTCCAAAAGATGAATACGAAGTGCGTCGTCTCACGAGCTACATGACAAGTAAGAAAATGAGTAACGATTATAAAAAACACATTCAAGATCTATGGACTCGTGTTCTTTTTGTTTGTGAGTCTACAAATTTTGTTGGAGCCGCTGAAACCGCTGTGCATCATAACTCGCGCCCTGGTACAGATGAGGAGTTTATGGCTCTTATTTGGTATTCTACCTTTCTTGCCACATTCTTTGCGTTTCTTGTAACCCTTTGTGTGTGGTGGTACAGGTACGGACAGGCCCCGCAATACGCAGAATTCAAGTAAAAATGGACTTTAGGATTTATAGTAGTAAGTTATCTGAGACGCATAGGAGATGGGGGATTACTAGGCACGAACATAATTCTTTGTATGAATTTTACGTAGTGGGAGACGATGGGGTTAGTAGCGTGTGGGCATTTCCTATATTTAGTAGTGTGAAACTTGGCTTTACTGGAAGTCGTAAAGTATGGAAAAAAAATGACAATAAGGAAGATATTTAATGTTTCTATATATATTGCTTGTTCCAAATTTTATTGCATTTTTTCTTTTTTGTTTTCTTCTGTATATCTTTTTTTTTGTGTTTTTTGTTGTGTTTTCTGTATTAATATGTCGTTTTTAGAATAGGGCATTATGACTATTATTATTTTTTCTGGGCATACAGTGATACCGAAGTTATGCACAGTTTCTTGGTGTGGCTTTATGCAGACTTCTTTGGATTTTTCAGCTCTTTTGAGGATACCAAAGTTTGGAATTTCCCTGCGTAGCATTGGATTGACGGCTACTACTGGTCGTTGAGGGAATTTTATTTACCATGGAATTTGGAGGTGGTTATCACTTTTTCTTCCGGAGTTTGCATAACAAAGCGCAATCCCTTTGAGGCGTCCCTTATTGATCTTTACCCGAAATAAAGAGGACAATATCTTCTCCCTCGCCAGATTTTTCAAATAACGAGAGGAAAAAGAATGGACAAGGCACAATTAACATGATACTTGACTTATTTATTGAGTTTATATATGTGTATATTATTATTATTATTATTTTGGGGGAATGTGCCATGTTTTGTTGTTTATGTTGTTCTTTGGACTGATGTGGCTGCGATGGGACACAATTGCATAAACGTATTTCCTTCATGTCCTTCAATTTGTCTTTTGTGGAGTGGAAATGTGAGAAGACACGAATGCTGCGATCTGCTTTTCTTGTGGCTCGATATTGGTAAATTTACCTGAAATTTATACAAATCAAATGGAAAAAAAAAGAGAGAGACGTACTGACGAGGCAGAATTTAATAACTACTTGTTAGCTCTATTCACTATTATTATTATTATTATTTTAGGATTGCTACCTAGGTTTTAGTTTTAGTTTTAGTTTTAGTTTTTTTTTTTATGTTACTGTCTATCTATTATGTGTAGGCAGTCATATACGCAGGGTGTCCAAGTTGGAATGGAGGAATTACCAACATATTCTTGTTATTAAGCTATTTATTTTGCGCTAGTTACAGTATGCTTTCTATAAGTTTTAACTTTTTTCCACAATGTTTTTTTCTTCTACCGTTAGCTTCTGCACAAGACTTGTCGCAAGCGCATGATGTTTCTACTTTTCGAGATAAACAAAGCGAAGTTTATGTTAAATTGGTTGATGCATTGACATCTGGTATCATGATCATTTTTTCGTATGCTATATTAATGATGACTAGTTTGAAGTGTTGTAATACCAATGATAATAATGATATTAATAATATTTCTTTATATATATATATATATATATACTAACGTAAAACCTTATTGAAGATAATGGGGCTTCTGAGGTAATTTTTTTTAAAGACAATTTCTATTTAATTTTTGATGTGTTTGTTGTTGCGCGTTCGCAATATATATATGGACATGTAGAGTAAGTTTGTTTGCTTTTATGGATTGATCTTTCTTTACAGTGCCCCATTGTATCCGCGGTTGCTGCTCTACAATGGGGGAGGTAAGCGTAGTCTTTGGTTGAATTTTTAATACAGTACTAAAAAAAAAAAAAAAAAAACTACTGTGTTTTATTTGCTCAAATGGGGGAAAAAATATGAAGTTTCACTTTTAAAAAAAATTCAAGTACGTCAGTGCTTTGTTCGATGTGCTTATGAATTTTATTACATCTAGTATCCCACAAGTTTTTTTTTTGAATTAGGTTTTTCTTTAAGAAAATTAAATATGATTTGCTCTTATCGAATTGGCTGCCTTCTGTGGGGATATGTAACAATATATATATAT